TTGATATTCCTCGATTTTGATATTCGGTTTATTATTCCTAGCTACATTCGGACTTACAGCAATCGCGCCAAAATTTTATCCGACTCCTCAATAAATTTTATTCAGATTATTACGTTTCAAAACGCTTTTGCTGGATTTTTTAAAAAAAAAGCGGGCTGGGACAGTAGTATGGACCTTTTTATACCCTATTTTCCCTTAATTGATGTGTGATTTGTTGTTCCAAGCTGCATTGAAACATACGCATATGTTATGTGTATGTAAATCGTTTATCCCGGTTATGATACCTATTATTGGTACCCATCAACTACAAAATTCCGTTAAAGTCTTTTAAAAAGGACAAACCCCCCTCTATGAAGTATGGCACGCCAGCAGTCAGCAGGTCGAGAAGGCGATCACGATACTCTGTGTACTCCATCATAGTGTTTCCTTTTTTTTGGCATTAAGCGACACGTTTCACCAGGTCATTAGTGCACCGTCGTATTAAATGCTTGTGCTTTGCTGTACCAACCGTAACATCCTGCGATAGATCCCTGAAATCTTCTACTGCTTGAGCAGCCATTTCAGGCTGCAGTCTATATTGGACTCAATAGTATCAAAGTATGTTAACGTGCTTCTGCAGTCTGTCACATTCTGGAAGGAGCAGCACACACCGTGCACAGAACCAAACAGTCGGTGGCAAAATCCCCGGACTTCAGGCGACTTATAATAAAAATTTCCCTTTTGTTTATTATTTAAAATTAACAATTATACAGCAGTGTACTAATATGAAAGTCCATTTGATCAGTAAGTCAATTCTTGGCCAGTCCGTCTGTCCACAGCACGGCTAAAGTACGTCTTTGTGTAAAGCTACGTGAACCCTCAGGACAGAATATCAAGCATTGTTGTCTGGAGAACTGAAGAAGCGGCAGATAGTTAGCCAACGCTTTTGCCGCAGTACAGATAGTTCAACTTTGGCTATCGCTGTGGAAACCACTCAGAACCTCACCCACATCGGTGACTGCAAAGTGCACATGGTTCCGCTGCATGCGGCCCAATCCTTGCGCTTTGATTGACTCCCAGCACCTGTAATAGGTGCCATGGACAGCCAGAGGAACCTGCTCGGCATTCGAAATGCGCTCCAGACACGCTTCGCCCTGCACCGACGCCAACGAGTGTCCCTGGTTGGCACGTATCTCATGGAATTTGCGCTCCTCGTTCCAGCGCAGAGTATAGCGTTGTTTGGCATCGCTAGCTACAATTTTCTGCAACTTTTGAAGACTAAAGTGCGCAAACTGCGGGCGCGATTGTATGTCGGAGATATTTACAAAGCCATCGGCTTGGATGGCAATGCCCCTGCTTTGACAGCTCCGTGCCGCAGCAGCCACGAGAGTTTTTTGCTCATCTGATCACATTGCTTTGTTGATTTCGAAGGAGAGACATCTTTGGCTGAAAAAAAACGTACTCTAACTTTGATTTGGCAAGTTTGGAGCCGCACGTCGAACTCATGTTGTACTACAGCGAAGAAACGTCGATTCGTCAATGTTTGCATGTGTTACATTATA